CGTGGGCCTTGCTCTCGGCCACGAGGAGTCTGCCCGCCTCAATTATGGAGCGCACGACCGCTACCAGGGCCTCCTGTTGGGGGCCCCCGGCCAACCCGGACGTCCGAAGCAAGCAATCGGCCTCGCCGATTGCCTCCTCGATCCGGTCGACGGGGTTGCCGGTTTTGCCTCGCAGCTCAACGAGGCCAGCACCCCCACCCCCGCTCCCCACATCAGTGGTCGACATCTCGGACGCGACCCCCTCCTCTCTTCTCCGTCCCAGACCCCCATCTTCGGCTCCTCCCAGCGCCGCGGGCTGGACCGCCACCTTCTTCCGGGCCACCATGGCCGTGGGGAGTCGGCCTCCGCCGCGAGCGCCTCTGCGGCTTGTGCCGACTTTGGGAGCCGAGGCCTCATCGCTCGAGGCCGACTCCAATTGCCTCTTCAGGCCCAGGCGAAGCGAGCGCCTTTTGCGCTTTGGAGTACCCTTCTGGTGCTGCTCTGCAGCTGAGACCATCGGGGTACTCGCTCCGCTCCTCTCCGAGGCAGTGTCGGTGTTCGACACTACCTCCAGGTTTTTCGCGTCCTCCGCGATAACGTCGCCGGATTTACTGCTCGGCGACGGGCAGGTTCGACATTTGGTGCTCCCCCCAGAATACGAGTGGGAGCTGCCGGAGCCGTTTGGCTCCGGGAGGGATTCCCCAGACACTGTGTGTCCGGGACCCTCCTGGGTAGATTTAATAATCTTTGGCCTCATGTCATTGTTGTTTAGTTTAACGTCCTTCGACGGGGACGCCTTCGGCACTGGACTCCCTCCAGCGACTCAGCCCCTTGCCAGGCGTCAGAACGTGGGCTTAGAGCATTTTTTATAGAGGTTTGCGTCCTCGCGGATCCGAAGATCCACCGGTCCTGTCCATTCAGGATTACGGCTGGGCCGGACGGGGTCTGCACCAGACCGGGTCCGTCCGCCCCAGGGTTTTTTATAGAGGTTGCCTTCCTCGTAGCCCTCGAAGAGCCGTCATTCCTGACTGTTGCCAGTCAGGGTTACGACATGGCCGGACGGTGGTCTGCGTCAGACCAGTGTCCACCACCTCTGGACAGAGCCAGCGGCAGTGGACCCGTCCGCCCCCAGCCCGCTCTCCCCTATGCCCTCTGCCAAACAGAGGGACATGCGGAAAGCAGCCCTCCGAACAGCCCTTGACGGGCCGTTCCCACCTCGGCCGGAATTGGCCGCAGGCGGCAGCGCCTCCCCCACCTAGGGAGAGAGGCGCTGCCGTCTCCGTTGCCCAGGGTGCACCACAAGGAGGTTCCGGACCACGCACCCCTACAAAAGCTGCCTAAACCTTACGAGAAAGTTCAAAATCTAAAATATATCTTAAAAAGATCAATATAAAAGTCCACGCTGGTATATATCTATCTAGTAAGGATAGCCATTTACATCTTTTACATATTACAAAAAAGTAATGGGTTATTTATTAAGTTCCTTAAACAGTACAGTATTATTCCTCTGTCCCGGTCGTCAATTCGTCCGTCCCGTGTGGCAACGGCCGACAGGCGCGGAGCAGCACAATGACACTACACTAGTATCTACATTCTACATTCCACCCGTGCGACGCCGAGCCGGGTCGCTATTAGTTTTATAAATACTTATCTATAAAATGGTAGGTAGGTAAGCAATAATGCTATTTAAATTATTTTACTCTTGACTGACATGTGAACGCAATTATAAGGAAATTCAATTCTAAGCCTATATTAGGCATGACTTGGAGTTCATTCTTATCCATAGGGATATAAATATAATATGTACTCATTTTTATATTTATATAGGAACTTCTTATGGGTAACTAGCCTTTGTTAGGTATAAGTGTAAGAAATAGAAAAGCTACAAGGATTCAGCTGTCTGGAAAACAGATTAGTTCAACGGTTGAATGTTGTTTTTTTATATTAACCTAGCTGAGACCCGCGGTGTTGGGTAACACCGCGGGTCTCAGGATAACAACAAACGCCGGTGCGTTTGTTGTTATAACCGCGGGCAACGCCGCGGGGCGAAGCTAGTCTAAAAAAGTAGCCTAAGTTACTCCTTATGTCAACAGCTATCTGCCAGTGAAAGTCCCGTCGAAATCGGTCCAGCTGTTCCAGAGATTACCCGGAACAAACAGACAGACAGACAGACAAAAATTGTAAAAAATGTTATTTTGGCATTTGTACCGTGTAAACATACATATGCATTTAGTAAAAAGCGGTTATTTTAATATTACAAACAGACACTCCAATTTTATTTATTTGTATAGATACTTGGTCTCGTCGACGGCTTTGCTATAGTTTACCAGGACTGATTATAGAATAAGATGAAAGTTAGGAATCTCACCCTTAATGATTCAAAAAGCCTCACTCGAACATGTTAGGCCCGAATACAAATTTATCAAGCTTAGATATAATTTTATAGTATATCTGCGGCGACTTGTGTATACAGCAGCGTACGTACTTTTCTATCACTCATCTCTGGTTCGCAGAACTAGTCTCCATCGACAAAGCTTAAAACCAACACATATATTCTTTTTTGACCTATAAAATTTCGTCTGTGTCTCTTAAAATTAATAAATTTTCCCCCGTTATTCCAACATTGTTGATTGATACTTCGCTCCTATTGATCGTGCCGTGATGTTATATAGCCTTCCTCAGTAAATGGAGTATCCAACACAAAAACTAGGCTGAAAACTCACAGAAGTCAATAGTGACTCCCGCTCCGGTTCGTTCATGATGTGAAAGTTGGCCTTTGCCATTTAACGCGACAATGCAGCAAGTGTGATGGGCACCTTTCACCAGAAACGATCAGAGACGCTGATCGTTTTTGTAATTCTTGTAATTTAATTCGAACTTTGTTTGTGTAAATTTCCTCGTACTCATGCCCGTATCTATACTATTTTGTTGTAAAGTTCATTATAAGTATGTAATTTTGTAATGTTTATATAGTAGATAACATTGGATTGATTACTTTTTTGATGTTTATGTACCAAAATATATGTGTTGATTCAAACTACTAGTACCTGAATTTAACGCGTTCAAGCTTTATCATATTAGTATAGATTCACGTATGGTTTTTACCTGCAACATGATATCATGGTTAATTTAAAAACATACTTGACCGTTACTATGACAGTGATAATGTTCTCCGTAAACCCGTTAAAGGTATTAAGTCACTTGAGCATTAGTCACTCTACAAGTAGCAACATGAAGATGTATTCTCTACATTTTATATTTTAGAAATAATAAAGCTAGGTAGACATCTCGAATAACTAATAGTATAAAGGTAGTATACCTAATTAATATACCGATAATATTATTACAGTTTCAGGAAAATAGTTGATGAAATCATGTCCTGTTTTGTCATAGGTACCTCAGTTTGTCTGTGTTGAAGGCGCGGTGTGGACATCACACAGAACTGTGGATTTCTCAGCTCAATAACTGTGAGTATTTATTTTTGTATTTAAAGTTACAGTGATTGCTGTGGTGATGTTATCTTATGTCTAGGTATGTACTTTTTGCGACATGTAGGTATAAGATAATAAGTGATAAGTATTATGTTTTGTGTTATCGACTAATTGTATTTTCAATGGCTTTGAAATGTTAACAAACTGCTCATTAAAGTACCTATGATTAACAATGTCTGTTTAATGTTGAATGTTGTCTATGTTCCGTAGTAGGTACATTTTTAAAACCCCCCACTCGGTAAATACTTCCTAATTCTCGTAGTTGTATTTTTTATAAATGAGAAATAAACCTGTAATCAACTCCACCCATATATTCTTTATATTATCGTCTCGTGTATAAAGATCATTGTTAAATATAAATACCAATGTCAGAGGCGAAGCAGGAAAATTCAACTAATACATACTTCTAGGCACAGCGTTTGTTGACGCATGCGACATCAACAAATGTAGGTAGTTATGTATTGTGGTGCTTATTTATTTTATCAGTACATCTAACACCTTAGTGTTACAATACCTAATTACTATGGTACGATATTTGACCGGATATCCGCCTACCCGGATATCAGGTAAACATTGTCAGTTGCTTATTTTGGACTCTTGCCTTTTAAAATAAAATAAAATAAACTGATTAAAAACTAATTTACCTAGGAGAAGGACCTCGATATACACAATTAAAAAGTCCTTTCAACTTTATAAATGCATTTACACGTGAGTAGCAGATGTCTATACACAAACAGCGGTAGTTATGAGGTGATGGGGGGCTCCCCTTATCATATAAAAAAACTCATTGTTGTACTTGCACAACAGGATGCACCGCAATACAGACAGAGGACATTTGCACAGATCGCTGTATTCGAATGGGTTATTATAACTGATTGTAAAAGTCGCGTCGTCTTACCGTCTAAAACAGTTGTTGTGACGACTTAAAACCTCGGGAGAGACATGCTTCATCACCCGGCCTCCCAGAAAACAATTAGGCAGGTTTTCGTTGCTTTTCACTAAGTGAGTGAGGTCACCTGGGCCCAAATCCCACTCCTCTTGATTCTGGGGGGAGCGACTCAGAGGCCGGCAACGTACTTGTTACTCCTGAGTTGCAGGTGTCCATGGTCGGCGGTAGTCACTTAACATCAGGTGACCCATCTGCCGTTTGCCCCCTATATCATAAAAAAACAGTGGTACTCCGGGAGTACCGACAGAAGTGAAAACTTGAAAAAAAAATTGTTGTTTTCGATTCAAAAAGCGACGAATATATATCCATGTTGTACGTATTACACAATATATGTTTATATTATATATAGTTATATTATCGTGTAAACGGGGCCAATATAATATAAATACTTAAATACAGAGGTGTCGGTTAGGCGAGTGCAATGGTTTTATTTGCAATCACAAAAAATGAGTTTTTTTGGTAAACCATAAAAATATATTCTTTTGTTTGTTGTTCAAAAATGCCTAAAAAAGTTTTCACTTCAAAAACCTCCGAGCCGTTATTATTATTGCTTACGTCTCTCTTTAAGGTATGCAGAGAAGATGGCGCCAATATCCCTCAAGATAATCACGAACGAGGGTGCGGCGACGCGTAAGGTGAAGTTTGACAACAAAATCACCGTGCGGGACGCGCACGCGATTATCAAGGAGAAGGTCATTGTGCCCGACCCTACCAAAGGTGACGTATACGTTTTAGAAATACTATTATTTAAGTTGTAACCACTACAGTTTCTGGAACCAGGTCATTTAGATTAAAAAAAAACTATTTGAGTTTGAAAAGCACACTGACACACAACTGTGTACGGAAGCTAGACTCTCACTTTGTTCAGTTTTTAGTGTATAAAAGTGTGAAAGTTTTAAACAATGTTGCTTTTCTTTGTTAGAGCATGGGCTATTCCTCCGTTCGCCGGACAGCGACCGAGTAGGAATCTGGCTGGAACAGCACCGAACCTTGGACTACTACATGCTGAGGGACGGAGACAGTCTCGAATACATTTGCAAGATTAGAAATCTCAGGGTCAAACTACTTGACGGTAAGGTGTTGATATGTATTTATTTAAATATATACAAGTATGTTTATTTAGAAATATAAACACTCAGTTGACATAACACGTATGAATTTAAACACACACTCTAACCATTTTGTTATAGGCCCTTTTACCTGCACATTATTTAATTTACCACATTTTTAAGAAGCGACGTGAATTCTTGGTACTCGTGTAGGTATACATCGGAGAGTTCCTAAACAGTTTTTTGTGACTGCCCGACTGCTATTTCCGATCCTTGTATCCGTACATCACAACTGACTTGACTGTTCAAGCATAGTGGTTTAAGCAGTCGCCACGCCGCTTCCTACTACGCCGAGTGTTCTGGGTTCAAACCCCACATGGGACGACACTTTGTGTAATCCACAAATTTTTTGTCTGAGTCTGGGTGTTCTTTGTGTCCGTTTCATGTATGTTTGTAAAGTCCCGCGTGACACAGGATTTATTCCTAAAGCGGGAGATGTCTTTTTTTAAGAAAAAAAAGGTTTCAGTGCAAAAATGCACAAATAAAGAGAACGGGTGCCTAAATTTATATGTAAATGAAGTGGTGTTTCTTTAAAATTTTAATGTATTATAGGCTCAATAAAGACCCTACCTGTGGACGAGGGGAAGACGGTGAGCGAACTGATGGTCGACATCTGCGGCCGGCTCAACATCACTAACTACGATGAATATGGCTTGGTGAGTGTTTAACACATAGGCACAGGTGTTAGAGGAATCGCATTTCCTGTCAATTAGACCGTTCAAGTTAGAAGTTGGTAAAATTATGATTTTTAATACGCCTTTTTATGGTATTAGGGTGGGGAGGGGGGGCTTCGTTAGGTGGTCTACAAGGCTTCATTTGTGCGCATTGAACTATTTTTATGATGCCGATGCCCAAACGATAAAAGAGAAATATAAAGTGTTACGATAAAAGATAAAGTGTTACTAAAGTAGGGTACTTTAGTAACACTTTATTTCAATACTTCTAGATATATATTTTAACGCGTAAAAAGTTTTGGAACCTAAACAATAATACATAATAATTAACTGTTAGTGTCCCGAAGAACACGAGGAAAAGGAGGACGAGAAAGAGCAAGCTCCGACGGGCACGCTCACTCTGAAGCGTCTCAAGCCGCAGCCCAAGGAACGGGACGTCACGCTGGAAACGCTCAGCAAGAAGTTCCAGACTGATGATAACGGTATTCCATCGCCTATTTTGTAAAAAATCAGCACCATGTTAGTCAAGAACAGAATTTTCAGTCCACCCACTAACTTTCTATGAGAGAGTTTTTAAGACACTCTTAACCACTTTACAAAACACACACACTTTAAAAGTAACTTTAAAAGTGTACGTCAAGGTTGGCGCGTTCAATTCCCGGTCATTGCAAATGTTTGCATAAATATGTATGTTTATTTACAATGTCGTAGGTGTTTTTTATTTTTAAAATGTGAATATTAAACAGATAATGTCTCTGTATTTTTATCCGTGTGTTTCTAGAACCTATATAGCACACACTCAAAGCTTAGTGTGAATGTTTCTGTTCGTCATATTTGGTTAAAAAGTGTACAAAGAATTTTGTTCTCATATTAGTATAAAGATATCTAGATATCTATAAATTATTTTACTTTACTTGTGGGTCAGTTTTGTGGGCAGAATGGGATAATGTCGGTAGCATATAAAGTGGAACATAAAGTCAAATTTGACATAATCCTTAGTACTTACGTAACGACGAAATCACTGTCCAAAGATGTAGTTAGGTATTTAAGAGACTTTTACTAAGACGGATTACTGAGACGATTATTTCATCCGACTGTTGCAACAACACAGACTCGTAGACTTTGTCCAGCGCCAATAGATGCCACATGCATCCCTTGTCAGGGTCATAGGTCAGTGTAAGACCACGAATTATAACCGATTCTGATATGTGCATATCCTAATGCATGAGTATGTTCTCTGGCAGTCCACTGGCTAGACCAGCACAGCACTCTGCGCGAGCTGGGCGTGGAGCCGACGGATACGGTGATCTTTAAGCGGCGGTTGTTCTACTCCGACCGCAACGTGGACCAACGCGACCCTGTGCAGCTCAACTTGCTCTACCTTCAAACCAGGGACGCCATACTCAACGGTAGACATCTCGTCACCGAGGATCAAGGTCAGTAGAAATAGGAGTCACTGGTGTCCCAACTAATATACACAACGATCCCCCCAACCAAGAACTCGGTAATGTGCTATTATGGGTTTTATGCTGTTATGTCAAATTCGGCATCTAGGGACAGGAATACACCTTAGCAATTTTTTTCAGATTTTTCCTAATGATGTTTACAAAGATATCATGACACACATGTTTATTGTTGGGAATTTAGACACAATAATATTTCGGCAAAAACCCTGCTATAGATCTATACGAAAAAACAATTTATATTTTATTTTGGTAAGTTGCGGTTACCGGGATATTGGCGTAACTAATTTTCATGAAGTTTTTGGTAAAAGTGAGTACGGGGTTTTTGTTGAATTAATTTTAAAATACGTATTCCGTAATACACACTAACAATGTCATTTAAGATTGGTATTGGCTCATTAATGTACGTAATATTTCAATACGGACAATTTATTCAAAATTTTATTACACCTACCTCTGTTCTGGATATTACTGTTTTTGTCTAGCCGCGCAATAGTTTGCAAAGCGCAATTGTCTCTTTCTTTTGGTAGCTGGTAGACAGTAATAGACATTTGCCACGCCCCTAGCAAGTGTCCTTGGCCATCGGGCCGGTGCGTAAAGTTTGTTTACGTAAACAGTTGCATTCAGATCTCTGGACTTGCACGCAGATTTTTGCACCACGCTCGATATTATTTAAGTTGTAGTGATAAACGGATAGTTTATTTGATAGTTTAAAGTGATAATGAGTTTTAGAAGAAATAGACCATTAATAAATGAACGTGTGAAGCGAATGCTTCAAATGGTTGAGGACACAATAATTACAAGTAAGTACCTACTATAACTTAGTAACACTTGAAGTTATTAGTTTATGATTGTGTATCTTGTAACGTTTTTGTTTACTTTGTGATAGGCGCCGATCAAGAGGTAAAATGTCCAGAAATAACTCCGGAGGCATCTACCAGTGCAAAGTCTGACGTCCAAGCATTATCAAAAGGTTTATAGCTTTTTTATTATACCTAATAACTCACTATACCTACTACTAAAGAATAATAAGTTGTATTGTAACTGTGACATGATTGTAACTTTAATTCGTAAATTCGTCGTTATGTCGGGTCGTGCTAGCTAAGTCAAGTGGATTTTTGTCAGATTTTTTTTTTCAAAAAGGAGGGGTTTTTAATTATTATACTGTAGTTTTACACGTTACATCAATACCTTCCATTCATGTAAAATGATCAGATATACATATTTCAATTCGGTGCCAGCTAAATATAGCAAATACATAAATACAGGGTTATGTAGGTACCTATGTGCAAGCTGGTATTTTTTGAGGGCAGTTTTTTGAAAACTTTAATCTTTATCATTTCAGATACATATTGCGAAATTATTGCAGTTGATCCCGAATCTAGTGTAATAGAAACTTTTTCCAATCACCTTCTGTCAAGATATGGGTTACGAGGTACGTATTGGAACCTGACCGTAGATAATTTTAATCTTTACATTTTTTCTTTATAAGAATGCGTAACATAATTTGGTGATTTCAATTTATTTCATAATCTATATAATATAATAATAAATGAATTAAATATAACAACTCAGGTAATTATATTCATTACAGACAGAACGAAAAAAAAATACGTTGATGCTGATCAGGAATCCAATGAAGATTTTTCGCCAGACGTCTCGGAATATGCTCCGAGTCCAGGCCCAAACATATTGGAGAGTCCATTAAGTAGCGCTTCAAGTCTAAGCGCAGACTCTGCATGTATTAATAAAATTATAGAGTTTCCAGAAATTATTAGCACTCCATCAACAATTTCTAATCTATCATTGTATTTAACCAACGCTGATTTCGTGGCTTCTTCATCAGAAATATATATAGGAACCTTAGATTTATCTCAACCAAGTATTGAAAAGGAAAACCAATCAAGACCAAACATAATAAGAACAATAATTAGCCAAGAAGATATAGATGACACGTTAAAATCACATGAAACTTCAGAAATTAATCACTATGAAACATTGACCGGTAGAATTTCAAATGACTGCTCACATGCTAAGCAAGTTGTTACCGACAATGAGGATAGTCCAAGTTTAATACGGAAAATTAGTAGCGAAGAAGAAAACAATGAAACTTTAAGACCAGAAGGGCAGTCAGAAAGTGACAATGACACAACATTGACCGGTAGAACTTCAAATGATTGCTCACATGCTAAGGAAGTTGTAACCGACGGTGAGGATAGTCCAAGTTTAATACGGAAAATTAGTAGTGAAGAAGAAAACAATGAAACTGTAAGACCAGAAGGGCAGTTACAAAGTGACAATGACATAACGATGGGTTGTGGGACCTTAAGCGATTGCTCGCATACGGCGACAGCAGAAAGCGAAAAAAAACACACTAGGAAACGCAAGCTGATTAGAACTGAGTGGCGGAGTAAAAAAAATAAAATCCTCAAAAATTCCGGCAAAGCTTACGAAGGGTGCAATTCCAAAAAAAAATATCCTGAAAAAACTATAGGCTCCCCATGTAGGTGTAAAAAAAGTTGTAGCCAAAAATTCAGTCCGTCAGAAAGACAAGCTATATTTGACAAATTTTATAGTCTCGCTGATCGCGAACATCAATGGTTGTATATCAGTAGGTATGTCCAAGCACAAACTATTAAACGAATGACTTTAGACCGTAAAAACAACCGGACACAAACTTTTAAATATTTTTTCTCTAATTCAAATAATGAAAAAATCCCTGTTTGTAAAAGATATTTTTTGAATACTTTACAAATCGGAGAATATGTGGTTTATACAGCAATGGAAAAAGTTATGAAAGCAGATGAAGGACTTCAAGATAAACGGGGAAGACATGACAATAGGCCTAATAAAATGAATACTATGACAGAAGCCACTATTAAAACACACATTGAATTATTTCCTAAAGTACAATCGCACTATACGAGAGCGACTTCAAACCGAGAATATCTTTCAGAAAACTTGAATATTTCGAAAATGTATCGCTTTTATACTGAGTGGTTTCCAGAACAAAATTATACGGATGTTGTGATGGCAACAAAACGACAATACGAAACAGTTTTTAACTCCCAATATAACTTCTCATTTTTCAAACCCAAAAAGACCAGTGCCTTTCATGTTCCATCTATGAACAATCAGACGACGCTATGAAAGCCACCCTTGAGGAAAAACAAAGACTCCATTTACAGAGAAAAGAAAAAGTTAGATCATTAAAAAAAGAAGAAATAGAGACAGCTGACAAAGGTAATTTGACAGTAGCAATATTTGATTTGCAAAAAGTGTTGAGTGTGCCTAAATCTGAAGTAGGCGTATTTCATTACAAAAGAAAATATCCGTGCTATAATTTTACCGTTTTTGATGCAGTACGAAAAATAGGATATTGTTATGTATGGCACTACCAAATCGCTAAAAGAGGCAGTTCAGAAATAGGTAGTGCTCTGTTTTCTTTTTTTAAAACTGAACGTGAGAAAGGTATAACCAAGTTTTCTTTATATTCAGATGGATGTTATGGGCAGAACAAAAATCGTTACATTTTCGCCCTTTATGTATATGCTGCCAAACTTTTTGGTATTACCATAACCCATCGTTTTTTTGAAACTGGACATAGTCAAAACGAAGGAGATTCCATGCATGCATGCATAGAAAAAAACTTAAAAAATAAAGTTTTATATACCCCTGACCAAATTTATAATATTATTTTAAATTCAAAGATGACTGGCGAAAAATATCGTATCAAAGAATTAGAGCAGTCCGAAGTTTACGATTTAAAACCTCTCGTAGAAGACAAGTGTTGGCGGTGCGATAAAGACGGAAATGTGATCCGTTGGGCTGACGTCATGGAGGTAAGCGTGGTCGACTCACAAGCAAATAAGTTGTTTTTCAAATATAATTTTGAAGACACTTATTCAGAGCTTGATATAAACAACACTCCCTCTACCTCAGCTAGACGACGAGGAGGAAAGCGTACGAGTACTCAAGATGCAGCTGTATATATGGATAATGTGCAGTTGCAACGCGCATACCACCAACGTATACCAATAAGCAAAGCTTTGCATACAGATCTTTTGAATTTATGTAGTAGTGGAGCTATTCCTCACAGTTACCATTATTTTTATCAATCCTTGTCCTGTTCTGAAGGGGGGAACGAAAATATTTCTGAAGAAGAATTAAATTGAAGAGTTTATGTAGCTCATTGTTGATTACAGGAATTGATTTTTTGGATAATTTTTATTAATAAATGTTCGCATTAAATTTAAGTGTCAAATTTCATTCTGTGGTTTAATAAATATTACTTATAGAATCGAAATTATTGTATTTTTTTCGTTTATTACCTTCTGATATTACATTAAAATATATAAAAAAAAGTCAGTATCGAGTGGTCACAAAAACACTGTTATTCTAAATTTCCTCGCAATAATAATGTTATTTATCAATACCGTTTTTAAAATTATTTCATATTACCACAATAACTCCGTAAAACACGTTATATATCAGCCCTACGATAAAAAATAACGCCGTAGAAGTCCATAATATAATGTTATTAAATATTTTATTTGATAAATTTACTGCAATAATCCCGTAAGTACTAATACTGTAATGTTTTATGTATAAAATTTAAGGTATTATTTGTTTTCATAAATTTCTAGGTTTTGAATGAAAGGAATTTCATATTACTGGCACAGTCATATTTCGTAAAAAATCAGCTTTCATTTAATACATCAATGATTTCAATAGTCCCACTCGTTGAAAAGATATTTGATAAAATCAGTAAATCTTTTCTCCTGTAAAGTTTTGATTTTTCGATTACCGGGTTATTGCTTGCAGACATCGACAAAAAACATATTTTGTCAATATGTCGTACGTTCACCTAAATGTTTGGATACATAATATATTGCAATTGTTTAGTTAAAAACAACAATTGTGACAATTTCAATTACTCATATGGGCTATTTATGCTTCGACAAGAACCAGAAGAAGAAGAGTGATACCACGGCTTCGCATTAAACCGGTGTTGAGCAATTCTTTTGTAGCTTTTCACCGAGTGAGTGAGGTTACGGGAGCTCAAACCCCTCCTCCCCCTGATTCTGGAGGGTAGGGCCTCAAACGGCAGCCACGCACTTGTGAGTCTTGAGTAGCAGGTATCCATAGGCAGAGGTAATCACTTTCCATTAGGTGACACTTCTTCTTTAAAAAATACAGGAAAATCACTTTAAATAAAAGGTGAACCGACTTCAAACAATACTAACAAAGAGCACTAAAAAGCTAGCAGCAATCGCGGTTGATTTGCTGTCATTTTTAGAGGAGTTACGTCGTCTGTCGCCGAAACTCATCATCAAATCTATATGAAATTTAAATGGGACCATTTCGGATAAACCCCTTTCAAACAAAAAAAGAATGTTGAATCCGACTATATATGACGGAGTTATGCCAGAACGTACAAAACAAATATAAACATCCGAATTGATAACCGCCTCCTTTTTGAAGTAGGTTAAAAATGGGATTCTCTTACACTTTATAATATTTATTTAAATGTACACGCTTGTTTCAGCGGTGGAGTTCGCGGGCATTCAATGTCAGATCCACTACGAAGACTTCCAGGAAGAGAAACATAAACCTGGCTTTATAGAGAAGTAAGCATATAACTATAATTAGATAAAAGCAAAGAAAGCAAAACACCTCGTTTATGATTAATTCAAAGGCTATAGAATTACTAGAACTTAAATTATTAAAATATTGTTATTCTTATTTATTTTATCATAATTTACACTTTATGCATAAAGTGTACTACGATCATCAACAGCCTTTAACAGTCCACTGCGGGACATAGGCCTCTCCTTAGAAAGGAGGTTTTGGCCTACTACACCACGCTGGCCAGACGGGTTGGTATAGGGTTTGTCTCAAGTTTTCCTTCTCTCTGTAGTACTGTTGTTCTGCGTAGTAGTCACGGGATGAATAGGGGTGGTGACACTCTGTATTCTTAATCCGTCACCACACGGTCACCACTACGATACAATGCTACAAATATTGTACATGAACATTGAACATTGTTCTATATTTGGTAGCCTGAACGAGTTCCTCCCGGAGACATACTCAAGCTCGTGGGGCGTCGAGAGGAAGGTCCTGAAGGCGTACCGCAAGCACCACGGCCTGTCGCAGCTGGAGGCCAAGAACCTCTACATTAAGACTGCCAGGGAACTGCCAACTTATGGAGTCACATTCTTCTTGGTTAAGGTACGTATCTACTTGTACGGTACATTTAACTCGTTTGTCTCTTAGTGCTTTTGTATTATGAGAGCTATCCTAAACAGAATAATAAAGAAGAAAAAAGAGTACTAGAGATGATCGCTTGCAATTTAATTAAAATATATCAGTATTTTGTTAATTTTTGTAAATCTTACAATATCTGTAATATTTTCAAGAGAATCGTGCAATACCAGAACTGGTAACCGGAAAAAAAAATTATTGTATGAACACAGGAGAAACAAAAAGGCAAGAAGAAACTGGTGCCTCGGCTGCTGGGCATCAACGCTGAGGCCGTCCTGCGCATGGACGAGAACACCAAGGAGATCCTGCAGCAGTGGCCGCTCACCCACGTCAAGAGCTACCACGTCGGCAAGTCCGAGACCTTCGCGCTGAACTTCGGCGACTACAGGTAACCACCGCCTGAACACTTCCTTTGTCTATAACATAAATTAATAATTCCTATCGAGCTCCCAACCATCTTAAAATCACATGTTAAGAGGTAAACAGTTATTTAGATTCAACAAAACAAATACAAACCTTCATAAAAATCATTTTCATGGAGGCAAAATTCTAATTTGATGGAGACAAGTTATTATAAAAGGGTTTGTAACATTTTCCAAATCAAATTCGAACTTTCGAAATTAAATTCGGCATTTTTGAAAGCGCATAACACAACTCACAAGTATTCCAAGTAATTACTGAATTTCCTCCCCAGCGACAAGGAGTACTGCTGCAAGACCCAGGATGCGTTCCGCATCCGCGACATCCTGGAGGGCTACATCGACATCATCCGGCGCCGCATGTTCGCGAGGCCCGGGCCCGACGGGGGCGACTCCATGGCCGTCTGCCACGACAACGTTCAGTCCGGACAGTCAGTGCTCGCTTCTCTCTTATACTTCTTATATGTCCACTAAATTTCCAACTCCTCCAATTTTCTTCTGATTACTTTCGTTGCGGGTTCCAAGACAGTTTAATTTCTTCATGGGACTTCCCGAGTGTCATAACTCGGTGTGTTCGTGGGTCACTGCTGTGGATCCTGGTGTACAGGAGTTACAGTGGTGGGCGTGTGGGTGGGATTACTCCCAATGTCCACTAAAATAGTTTTAACGTGTAACATGTTCTCTCTGGCTGCACTGTGTAGGTAGGGTTTCGTGGAAAAAGAACGCCAGAAAGCCTTTTGGTCTATCGGTTTTTTTTTTCGATTCCCACCTAGGACAAGTAATTGTGTGATGAGAGGATTAAAATAAATATGATTTTTAATACGTACGCGATGGTAGATCTTTCCTTTGGCTTTTCTGCAATCTGTAGAAATGATTTTATGAAAAAGGCGAGTGTCACAAGAAGTGGGATTCTACAGAAAGATATCTGCAGAACTGCGGGTGTTCATAATACAGAACTATGAGGCGCAATTACGAGCAATGCTGTTAGACATTGTCATTGTCTTATTCCCATTATAATCCTGTGAAATTCACACACACATCATATTGGACTACTGTAAGGGTCCCTCGCATTTTTTACATAATCACAGTCTGTTTAATATCCTATTTAGCTGTATGTCTGTTGTTTAGAATACAAATTATCCAGCACATCCAGAACCAACCCAACAAGTTGGTGAAGGAGACATTCGTCGGTCCCAACAAGCTCGTGCCCTTTGACCAAGGTAAGTTTTAAGAGATTTTCAAATCGCATGATGGTGAGTCAGTACACTCAGAACTCGAGGCGGAACCTTTATAACAGCAAAATAATACGACAGGGCGACGGTACTCACTTGCCATCAGAGGACCAAGTGCGAGTTTATTTCACGTCTACTCGATCGTCACGGTAAGCGCGTTCGGCGCTGCGATTGGCCCGCACTGAAATCTGCACCAATCACAACGCAGAACGCGCTCGCTGCCGAGAGTAACTTGATGTGAAACACACTTGCACTAAGCCCTCAGGTGACGTAACATAAAAGTAAAAGTTAAATTTATAATAATAAATTCGAAAAGACATCTTCAAATATTTTTTTTGGTTAAATAGATTTTTTACTAGTTGTGTTTTTTTTGTGGTTTTACTATTGTTTATTTCTAACTTTAGTTCAGCTTGCGAACCCTACTTCTGTTACTATAATTCAGTACCTATTCATAGTCCACAGTGCAACTAAACTTACTACAGGTTTAAATGTGACAATACAGGGTGTATATGATTATGTCCTCAGGGTCCGTAGCTCAACAAGGCACGCAAGTGATGACGATGCAGCAGATCATACAGACCAATCAGTTCAACAATCCACAAAGAGGCCTGGTACGTATTACTTTAACGTATTATTCCTAATGCTTCTGCACCAAATTCTACTCAGTTCTACTTCTGATCTTTGTAGACGACATATTATTATACTAAAACCCCAAGCGTATGATTCTGTCTTTGTTATTCGCCCATAGTGTTTGCAAACAAATATATATATGTCGGAGAAACATTATTCTCGTTGACATCGTCATTCGTGGTTGCGGGCTTAGTGGGCGTCATTAGGGTAAAATGCGAGCACAAAACAATGATCACAATTTCTTACTATTTTAATTGAAATTGATAATTTTGTTTAATCAATAATTTCCAACGAAAAATCAACACTTAAGACCGAGCAGCGGGTTCAGGGCACCCTTCTTACTTTAATCCGAATAAACTCTCCAAGATCCAACTCGATCAGTCGCTGTCACTCAAATGTGTCCCAAAAACTGTCAGCCCTCCTAAAGTAAAGATGGCGCCTCGACCCCGCTCGAGACATGTGTTCTGCTCTGATTGGTCATTCCGTGGATAACAATATTCCTAACTTTTATTACATTAGTAAGGTTTTAAGTTATAGAACAATATACAAAATATGTTACAAATCAAATAAAATAAAATAAAGAATTTTAAAGGTAATTAAAAATGTAAACAAATCAACAATCAGCAATCACATCAAACAACAATCAACCCGACTCCTAGCTTCCTCCGACATATATATATATATTTATGTATATCTCATCTACGTATTTACTCGTATTTTTTTTACACTTTATGTATTTTATTTAAGTACTTAGGTAGTTTATGAGAATAAAAATATTTTTATGTTTTTTTTTGTTCAACATTCATTGTAAACTAATCACTAACTCCTAATTGTAATGATGGTAGACACAATTAACAATATTAATTTACTCATTATATTCCTACCCTTGTCCCAAAATTCATTTAAGATTCATTCTCCTCTATCATGTGACAGATCACAGCTTCCTCCCTTACAATCAATCAATAATGAATTGTGAAAGCAATTTAATTTTCTTTCTTATCAATTTTGTGTAAATATTGCAGCAAGGTGAAGTGGCCCAATGCGGTCAGATGCCGACAGATTGCGTGAAGAAGTTGAAGAGGATGAACTCCTGTTCAGTAAAGGCTGTGACTCTTCTCGCAGGTGGGTCGGGAGACGATGTCACCAGGCTTATGAAACAATTAGTTTCTAATAATCATTTCACAATAATAATTATAAACGTAAAAGTTTATGAAAATAGAAGGGCGGGGGCACAACACTACTTTGACTACAGGTCAGAAAGCTGCTTGCTTCAAATGACATCGGGTTAAC